TTACTTGGTTCTGAAAATGAATATTTAATAAATATTAATTAGTTATTTTTGTTTAATAATTTTATATAGGAAGAAACCAGAAGTAACACGTGAGAAAATCCAATCATTTAATTCAGATAGAATTAAGTTTAAAAATTTTTAATTTCTAAATAAAGAAATTAAAAGTAAATATGTGAATAATTGGTTTATCAGAAAAAAATTGAATAATAATTTTCTTTACTTTTTAATCTAATTTAAACTCAATAAAAGTACTCATCTTTGGCAGCTGTTAAATGCAACCAGCTACTAGCTTGTAGAAGGCCTTCTAGGCAAAGACTTAAGGGGTAAACAGATTTTATCTGTTGACCAGCCCTGCACCCCTTCTTCATCTATTAGGCTGGTGCCAATATATTTATAATACATTGTTTCCAGTTTAGGATGTCGAACACTGGATCTTATTAACTCAATGTATGAGTTTTGCTTGTGTCTCTGTTTTTATGACTAGGCAACTCATTCTATTATTTCCTGATATGGGTACAGCTCTAAAACTCAGTTTTATGGTTCTGAGGCCGGCTGGTAGTCAGGATTCTTGAACTCTGTGGTAGCTCTCAGAGAGACTAATTCCATTAGCAGCTGTAAAATATTAGAGTACTAACAGTGCCATGTTGTGCGTGGATGGTATCCCTGTTCTTATTTATGGTTTGCATTGTCCAGGCCACATTTGGAGCCCTTTGTTACGTTTTAAGGTTTATTGATAGTTAAGAGGCAATTGCTTGGACTATTAAATAGTGTGCGGAGTACTATCTGTGCTTTGAGTTAAGTTCTTTAACAAATTCAAAAATGACTAAAGTACCAAAAACTATAAAACAACAAAAAATCATCGTCATCACCTAGCTCTAAATCTATCATTCACTAATATTTGTTGTCTTCAAAATAACTTTTCTTCTGTTGAATCTTATCTCTTGCAAAGTTCACCGGACCTACTTGCTCTTTGTGAGACTAATTTCAGTTCAGCTATCTCATCTTGTGATCTTAGTGTTGGTGGTTATCTTCCTTTAATTTGTAAAGACTTCAATAATAATATGCTTGGCCTGGGCACTTACATTGATAAGAATTCACCCATTTATCAGGAAACTAGGTTTGAATCCACCAACTATTCTTTTATGTGCTTACGTTTAGCACCACTTCACTCTATCACCTTTCTCTTTGTTCTCTATCGCTCTCATTTATCTCAAGACTGTATTCTTTTCAATATTATTTCTGATCAAATTGATTAAGCCTTCTCTTTTTTTCCATCAGCCAATGCTGTTGTTGTTGGTGACTTTAATGCTCATCACACTAAATGGCTCCGCTCTAGTGTCAGTGGTTCTGCAGGTGTTAAGGCCCTCAACTTTACTTTCTCAATCACTAATTCAAGTAGTCAACTTTCCAACTCGCTTTCCAGACAACCCGAATCATTTACCTTCTCTGCTTGACTTATGTCTTGTTTCTGATCCTAGTCAGTGCTCGACATTCACCCTTAGGTGCTTCTGATCATGGTTTGATTTTTCTAAAACTATTATCTTCTCTAAAAATAATATTCTTCTTCATCATCAGAATCCCCTTATCATCGTACCTCTTACAATTACCTTAAAGCTGTTTACTGTTGCCAGAAACCATTGTAAAAAGGTTTGTCTAATGTCAAAGCCTACTATTCTTAGGCCAAGAAATCTCGTGCTTATGAAAACTACTTAAAAAGCGCTTATCAGAGTCTCGTTTTCCAGCCTGTCGGAAAGCAGCATATGCTATCTGTATTTCCAAAAAAATCTGACTCATCTAACTACCGTCCCATTAGTCTTCTCCTTATCATAAGCTAGGTTTTTGAATCTTTAATTAAAAAACACTTAATCTCTTATCTTAAATCTAATAACTTTCTGATCATCAATATGGATTTCGATCTTCGTTATCACAATTTCGATCATTTTTGTAAACATTTTATTTGGTCGCAACTTTTAAAAAGAAATTTTTATACTTGTTAACTAAATATATTTTTAATATATATATTTTTTAAAATATCATTTTAACAGTCAATGTTTAGAGACCTGGTTATTTTTCTGGCCTTGTCAACTTCTTTTTGTTTATGTGTTTACATTCAGGTGCCTAATATAAAGGAGGGGTAATTAGTTAACTTTTAGAAAATATATATATTTTCCAAAAGTTATAAGGCATTTTCAAATTATTTGCTATCATTCCTGTAATTTTATTTTTCAGATTCATTATATATTCAAAATAAAAATATATTAAATGCTGCCCATGAAGTGGTATTAATACTATAGAATTAAGACTCAGTACAGGATGGTCTGCATTCTCTAATATAGCTTAACACAAAGTTCAAAAAGCCTATAAAAAACACTGTGATCTAAACTTGATAAACTTTAGACATTGCTTTTTGCATATTCAGAGTTATTTACTGCCGCTAGAATGATGTCAGGGTGTCATTCTCAATATAGTTTAACCTTTTCTAAAAAAATATCAGACAGACTGTCCAATGGTTCCATTTTTATACTTTGATGTAAAGGAAATAATAATTAAGTTGAATAATTTAAGTTATTACCTTGAAAAATGTAGAAGCTGGAAAATTCATTAGTTTAAGGATTTTATTACCACAACAATGTGACTTGGTGTTATCTCAGTTTAAAGATTTTATGGATATAGAAGTCAAAGCAATAAAGCAAGAATCTTATAAGTTTATTCATCCAAAGGATCGTCGTGATGATTTTTATTTTCAACGTGTTTGTGTCAATTTAAGTTCAAAAATTTGCATAAGTTAATCCATCAAGAAAAGCTCAATTGACAACAAGAAAAAAGTCAGAATCATCTAGAAAATTTTATTTTACTATTAGATTTGACACTAAAAATATGGGTGTTGCAACATAAATGAATAATAATTCCAATATTGATATGATATGTGATAGCAATAAAGTTAGTGATAGCAAAGAATACTCAACATTAGAAAAAGAAGAAAACTATCTTAAAAAAAATTACCTTGATATTAGTATTGTTGCCATTGCCTCTGTCAGATTTTGTGCTGCCACTAATGGTCTTCTGAAAGATATTATGAAGGAAACTTGTCAATGATAAAAGTAATCTTATTTGTAATAGCATAATAGTTTTTTGTACCAATGAGCTGTGAAGTGTTTTAGAATAGAGAGAAATTTAGACTGTGAAAGAAGATTAATCACTAGAATTTTTGTTGATGGTAGAAAAAATATTGCTATTATACTAATTATGCACCACAGTCTGAAATATTGCTATTATACTCATTATGCACCGCAGTCTGAAATATTGCTATTATACTCATTATGCACCGCAGTCTGAAATATTGCTATTATACTCATTATGCACCGCAGTCTGAAATATTGCTATTATACTCATTATGCACCGCAGTCTGAAATATTGCTATTATACTCATTATGCACCGCAGTCTGAAATATTGCTATTATACTCATTATGCACTGCAGTCTGAAATATTGCTATTATACTCATTATGCACCACAGTCTGAAATCTGAAATATGTAAACTAGTCCAGCAATGTGCTATTAGATTATTCAACTGGTTAATGGAAAGAGGTAATGATCTTATTCTCTAAATAATTGGTAGTGATACTACAAATAAAATGCCTAGATCGAGTATTTTATTTTATAGAAAAACTTCTCCATCAAAAAATTTTCAGATTTTTTTGCTGGCTTCACATTAATAAACTTCCATTCTTTCATATTGTGAAAAACTTAGAAGGCCAACTTCTTCAGAAATGATGGTGTGGAGCAGTTAGTAAACTTTTTTCTAAAGTTGATAATCTTGAAAAATTACTAAATTTACGCCAATACCCCTCCTGGAGTCTTTAGTTAATATCAGTGAAGAGTTTGTTAAGCAAATGAGTACTGACAGTTTAGTTGCACAGAAGTATTTGAATACAATGTTAAAAGAACATCTTGATCCTGAAGTAACAGCCCTTAAATGAGTTAGATTGTCTCATAGTTAATGGCTTAATTGTGGCATGCGATGCTTGCTTCTATATATAAGCAAGCACGATCTTAAACCTAAGGATGCAGAGATCTTAAGGCTTGTTACAACTTAAGTAACACAGGTTTATTTTCCAGTGTTTTTTGAGATTTAAGTAAATAATGGCACTAAATAAGTTTTTGGTCATCTTTTAAAGCTATTTTGACATAATGCATTATATGTTTGAAAAATTTATGTTTACATAAACAGCAATTACAATTGTAATATACTTTACTTACCAAGTTTCTTTATTTACGTGTTAGGCTTGTTCTGGAAAGGTTTCTGTTTGTTTACAAACTGTTTCTTTTTCGTGTACAACAAAAGAATATGTTCAAAAACAAATTGTTAGCAATGGTTTTTTTAACATTTTTTTATTCAAATTTCTCAACATTCTCTTAAAAAATGAAGTGTTTTACTAAATTTTTCATACTCAATTTTAGTTTATGTTTAGACTGTTGTTTTATTTTCCTGATTACTTTTAATATAAATTTTTTATCGTACTTCTTTCTATTTTTTTTTACAAACATTTATTTGTTTCTGTTGTATTTTGTGATAAATTTTGAAAATCACTATAAAATAATTCTAAGCAAGAGAGCGACCCTCTATCAAGAAAAGACTTTTGTAACTAAAACATAAATAAATTAGAAGAGAGTTAGAAAGTTATTTAATGTTTTTATGTAACCTAATTCAAATTAGTAAATACAAGTGTGTTTTGAGTTGTACTTTTCATCATAACTAACAAACTAAAAAATAAGTTAAACTCATATTACTTATTGTTAAAAAAGGAAAACTAAATTTTTTCATTTTGCTTTAATATTTAACAGGTTTTTTTAAAATTTTTCAATATTTTTATTACATTTGTGTCCATAAATCTATGATGTTAACGTTAAACGTTAACATCATAGCTTTATGGACACAAATGTAATAAAAATATTGAAAAATATTAAACGGTTTAATAATATATTTTGTGCTTTTGTTAGGAACTTTCCAAACATCAAGTTGATAGTGACTGGTCCAAAAAAAGTTGAAAAATCTTTGCTTGTTAAATCACTACAAAATGAAGGGATCACAATTAGAAAAGTTACTTCTGTGAGACATAATTGGGTTAAAGGTAAAATGGTCACATCGTGTGTGACCATTTTTTAAATAATATAATTGGGTTAAAGGTAAAACACCTTAATGGAAAATTGTTACTGTTATGTAGTTTTTCATGTCTTACCATTAAAAATCTTTAGTTTAAATTTTTAAAATTCAAATAAACAACATTGTGTATTCATTAGTTTTCTAAAAACAATTTATGAATTATGTTTTTTTTACTAGTGGACAAACATACTAAGATATTTGCAAATGCCGGAATAGACTGCACTTACTGGTCATATATGTATGAAAAGAAATGCATGAATTTTATAATTTGGGAGGTAAATGAATATTGAAATAATAATTTATTTTTACCATTCATTTTTTCATATAGTGACATTTAAAATACTAATTTCAAATATAATTAAAAAAAAATTTAAATATATATTTATGAAAAGTAAGAAAGTAAAAAAAGACAATTTAAAAAATAATTTAAAGTAATTCTAAAATTTTGAAATATTTGCTACGCTAATGAAATATTTGCTGTGCTAATGAGACCTAGATCAATTAAGATAACATATTGCGAATTAATATTTGTCTGCTAATTTTTTTTTTGTTTGAATATTTGTTTGTTTGCTATTTTTACAAAAAAAAAACTTGAACATCATGAATCTTCTTAAAATAACTCAAGTTTATATTCTTCAAGAATAAACTTGAGTTATTTAAAGTTATTTACAAAAAAATGTGATATATGGACTACCGAGATCAACGAGTGAAAGCAACTAGCCCCAGTCTACCCTATTATGTTTTTCATTCCATATCTTTTATTTTTTACTCTGGCGTGTTTTTTAAATACTTAATCATGATGATGTCATCTTTTTTACTTTAATTTTCAATTCACCATATTAAAAAAAAAAAATCAAAAAAATATTTTTCCTGGCTTCTTCAAACATAAACCTTTTAATCTTCAATGCAAAAAATATTCAAAAATATTTACATTTTAAAAAGTAATCAAATTGATACTAAGAATAAAAATGAAACATTTTCAATAAAATTGCAATATTTCTCATAAAATGCAATATTTCTCATAAAATGCAATATTTCCAATAAAATGAAATATCCCCAATAAAAATGCTATATAATATAATTTAAAAGTGTAAATAAAATAAATTTAGTTTTTTAAAGAAAGAAATGCGGTTGTTTCAAAGCAACTTTAAAAATAAAATTTGTCTTACTGAAAAACTAGTTATCCTCAATTTATCTATATAATTATACTTATTGGTTTTACTTATTAATTTTAATTTATATTTGTTAGTTATGATTTATACTTATTAGTTATAAATTATATTATATACTTAATATGAAGTTATCTTGATGTTAAAAACTTGTTTGAAGAAAAATTTAAAATTTTGTTTGATAAAAATAAAAAATTCAGAAGTCAAAATGAATAAGTTTAAATTTTTTTTTTTAATTTTATTTAGTGCAATTTCAATAAATTTCATCACGTTTTTATGTTTCAACATGCAGTTTATTTGCTTGTTTGGCAATTTACTGATAATATCAAAAATGAAGTGGAACTACTAAAGTCATGGTTTAAAAATATTCAGGTTTGTTTTTAACTATTTGTATATTTTTATAACTCTTAATAATATTGAAAGTTTAAAAAAAAAATGATGTGACCAGAAAAGCTAAAAATTATACTATTTTGCAACATTTTTTCAGCTTGTTTTAAAATTTTAAACATGAACAAAAAAAGCATTTTATGGTCTTTTTTTTTTTTTTTTTGGATAGAAACAACAACAACAAAAAAACATAAACATGCTTTTTTTTTTTTTTACATATTATGTAAAGTTTATAAACTAAAAAAAAAATGTAAAAGTTGATGTATGAAGAATATAAAATTTAACCTGTAACCCTTTAAATATCACCACCAGACAATAACACTGTACTTAATAAATTGTTTAATAATTAGGTTCATATAAAACATAATCAAACATCCAACATAAAGTTATAACTAACAAAAATTAAAAAACCGTTTATGTATAAAATGAATCGGTGAATGTTAAAAGGGCAGAAGTCCAACGATATAAACTTTTAGGAAACTAAAAAAAACAGCACTATTTTCTATCATGAATAGAAAATACACTAACCGTTAACTGCCTTAAGTAAATTAACTCTTGCACATGTGTTTTGGGCAATGAAATGTTTTGCATTAAATCTACTGCTAGGGACAAAACATTTACATTTTTTTTTTCCCTAACGTCCTGCTCATCTTGTTTTATGGCTTGGTAAAATTTTTTGCACGTCTGTTATGTACTGTCAACTCAATTACTGGTTTCTTACCTTTTTTTAATAATTTGTATGATCAGACTCACTAACACTATCATCCATTTAAAAAAGCATTTAATAACTTAAACATTATTAAAATGATCAAACGCAATAAATCAACTTTATTTACCAAGCTGTTGCACAATCAAAACGACAAAATAAGTTTAGGTTTTGTGTCGTTTTGATTGTGTCGTTTTGATTGTATTCCGGACTTCAGCCCTTTTAACAAAAAACCAAAACTTTTCAACACTGTACAGGCTAGAGAAAATTTTTGACTTACACCTTTTTAACACAAAATGATGGAGCTATCTTTTAAATATACAAATTTGCAAAAAAGTCAATTTTGCAAAATATGTGACTTCCGCCCTTTTAACATTCATCGGTTCAAATAAGGTAATCACTAGCTTCTTTTGCCTATAACAAGGAGTAATAAAATAGCGTAAACCCATAAATTTGCTTATAACCTTGATGATTAAATAATTTATTTTTATTTAATATTACTTTTATTTAAAATAAAACAATTTTAATAAAATGTTACATTTCAAATATAAAACTTTTTCTAAAGATTTTTAATTTTTTAGACTTTCTGCTTATAAAGTAGTTTAGGTTGGCGCGTGGAAGAATCAAATCCTCAGCTTGTTTTTTTTTTTAAACTTTGATATTTTTTAAAATGCAAAACAGAGTAGTTCCATAGTTCTATACATATTAAATGTACATGTTATTGTTATTACTATTTTACATATTTTAATTATACCATTTTTTTATTATACCGAACTTAACTTAGTTGTCAAAAACTTAGTTGCTGAAAAGTAAAACTGAAAAAAAACTTTAACATTTACATAATTTTAAATTTCAGCTTATCTCCTATTTTAAGCTAATTAAAATAATAATTAATATTTTTTTTTATTTTATTAGGCTTATGCTCCTGACTCAGCTGTTATCGTTGTCATAACTAACTCTGATAGTAAAATGTTTCCATCTGGTTTAATAGAAGAAGTTAAAAGACATTTTTTTTCAGGATCAGATGATTTTAATATAAATGAGGTGTCAGATGTAGACAAAATCATAGGTTTTGTTGAAATTGACAAAGTTCAAAATATAAAGTTTCTTTGTGATTTAATATCTGAAAAAGCTATGAATATTAGAGATAAAAGTAAGTTTTTCCTGCTAATTGTTTGTTATATATATATATATATATATACATATATATATATATATATATATATATATATATATATATATATATATATATATATATATATATATATATATATATATATATATATATTTATATTTATATATTTATATATTTATATATTTATATATTTATATATTTATATATATCAGGCCTTCACATAAGAGGCATTTGGTCGCACACCTTATATGACCACACATACAATACTTTATTTTGACAACTTGGCCACAGCCCTTTGCAAGTTTTGACAATTTGTGCTTTTAAAAAAATGCACTAAAAAAAAAAAATATACGTCAATGCAATTTTTAATTTAATTGATTCCATAATTACAATTAAACTGCCACAAATTTTCCTGTAATAAAAGGCGATCATTGAAAAAAATATTCAGTTTACAGTTTAAGGTAAAATGAGTACAGAAACTATCAAAAAATCTTTACAAATATTTTTTTTTAATGAGTATTCAGGCCTTGTGATGAATAAAAACTGCGCGATGCATAAGCACGACGTGATTTTTGACGTCATTAAATTCTTTTTATTTGCTTTTCATATTTATCGACATTAACTGCACCAATTTACTTAATTACCGCAAAACTACTTTAAATTATTAATGTAGAAATGTTATTATTTTAAAATGTTTTGGAATGTTTTGTTTTTTAAAATGTAAAAACATTTGTTTATTTTCTCGACGTTTGACACGTTTTGTCTATACTAAACAAATAAAAAACATTATAACTAAACATTTAAAAAAGATTATAAAATATGCTAATATTTGATTTTTTTTTTCTCAAATATGTAATTTAAAGTTTTTCAAATAATTGTTTTTTCTTTTTAAAAAGTCAGTGAGTAATAAACTGTAAATTTTAATATTGTACGATTAAAAACTGTGCAATAGCTAATATTTTTACCAGCGATTTTATATAATATTTTCTTATTTATTTATTTTCATAAAGCGGTTGATAAACACAATCACTCGTGTTACTAAAAAACTTAAACGAACGTTTTGAATAGATTTTTAATGTTTACAACTTTTGTAAACATTAAAACAAAAAAGCGATTCTTATTATTTAAGTAATTTTTTTTGACTTCCTTTTTACAAAAATTTTAATAACTGTGTTTTTTATTGAATCAATTAGAATATATTTTAATATTAATCCTTTTGTTTGTTTTTTTATTTGCGCTTACCAATTTTTAAAATGTTTTCTCGAAATTTCTCTTAAATACTTTAAATACGTCTAACAGTTAATAAATATTTTTAAATCTATGGAATAATTTTAAAACCTAACAAACCCCCATAAAATAATTATTCAAGTTAAAAATCAAAAACTAAAAGCAAGTATTTTTGTTTAATTTTAAAAAATATCATTAAATATATTCAAACAAAAATTTTTTTGCTCAACGCAAATAGCCCTAGCTACACGCAAAATCGCTCTTGGACGACGTAAAACTCACATCGCCCGACGCTTTATCGCAAGGCCTGAATATTGACCTATCTTTATTTATTCCTATCTTAACCTATCCTACCTATACCTTTTCTTTATTCCTATCTTTACCTATCTTACCTGCACCTATCTTTATTTATTGATAATTTGATTTAAGAGTTTTATGTCAAATAAGGGAGTTATTTTTTAATAATTTTTATTCTAGTTAATAAGTTATTAAATATATCAAAGATACTTTGTAAATTTATTGAATTTTTTTATTTTTTTAAAACACATTTGCAAAGTCTGCAAATTAATCATAATTAATATGCAATGACCTAATTATTGTAAACTCTTATCCATTGATACAAATTAGTGAATTTTTCTAATTTTACTTCGTTAAATTTATTTACTAATAAAAAAACTTGTTAACATGAAGTAACTAAAGGGTAATTCCATGTCAAATCATCCAGGTCATGTCACCCCATGTTTGAGATTTTGCTAAATTTGAAACCTCCAACTCCTTACGGTTCTTGAGATATTCAGGTTTCAATTTTCATATTTATGCTGACTCAGCATTTTTTGCAAAATGCATTTTTGTCATTAAATAGCAATATTTTATGGATGAAATGAGGTATCATTCTGAAATTTGCTACATAGACAATCTTCCAGATGGCAGATACAAATATCAAATTAAAAATTTTCTTAAACCACCTTGTGCATGTAAATTAAAGAAGTGCATGTAAATTAAAGAATAATGGCATATATTTTAGGGTATTTTGACGGTCAAAATGGTGATGTCACCTTGGAAATTTTTTTTCAGCCATTACTAAAACTTACAATATAGGTATTAAACATCACTATTAATTACAAATATGCTATTGCATTTTTTTACTTTTCTAAATATATCCTTTTAAGTAAAGCTTTTAAGAGTCAACATAAAATTTATCTTAATATCATGTTGTAAAAAGTTATTTTTAAAGTCATTTTGATGGCAATAATAAATGTATTCTTTATTTCTAAATTTTTGGTACCTGGGGTAGGCATTTTTTTAAGTTTAAAAACTTTATTAGGCTGTAATCCAAATGCAGTAACATTTTTTTTGTCTTTTATAAATAATGCCTTTTATATCCTCATTATTATTTTATTGCGTCTGTTTAGATTTCATGTTGTAAATATTAGTTTCCTATTAATTTACAGGAATTTTATACTTACTTAACTAATTAATGTTATGAATGATACTATATGATTGGTAAATAAAATAAAATTTAATTACCTTTTATAATATATATAAGGAAGTCATATAATATGACACATCCAAACAAATAAATTGTATAAATAGTTTTCCATAAACTAAATAATGTGAATGGTATTTTTAAAAAAATTTATTTTGTAAAATATTTCAAAATCAGATTTTTTGAATATATTAAAAATTTTAAATTATGGAAAAGTGTTCTATTGGATTAGAATGTAATGTTGACTGCCACAAGCAAGGTTTAACAAGAAGACAAGGTCTTTTAGATCTATCAACGTTTTCAAGTGGTGAAAAACATGAGTTATTATGGAGAGCTGGTTTTTTTGACTGTGGAAAATTGTTTACAACAGTTTGCTATTATCATAGAGAATACTTTGGAGTTGCATTTGAAAGAAAATTTCAGAAATGCTGAAAAAACATGAAAATCAAAAGAAAAACATGGAAATCGAAAGAAAAACGTGAAAGGCAATTTTTATATTATTTAGATGATTAGAATGATTGAAATAGTATGATTAAATAAATGATTGAAATAGTTTAAATAAATTAAAGCAATATTAAGTATATTTATAAACTAACAATTATACTCATTTTTTCTTTACAATGATGGTGAGTTGATATTAGTTTTTAGAAATAATTGTTTCCTTTTTTTTTATAGGAAATGTGAAGATATTGCTATCAATAGCAATAACTTTGAAAACAAAAGGCATTGCTGCTGTATCTGGGTGGAAATTATGCATTAGTTGTTACAAAAGGGTACATAGTACAAGAGTACAAAGGGTACAAGAAAATCAAATGATCAATGCTATAGTAGGATTGAGTCTGAACAAGAACAATGTGCATCTCTCAATGAAAGTCTTGAATCTATAGGTGTGTCACCTATGAAGCTTAAATCAATTCCAAAACACCAATAATTACCAGCTGCTAAAAGAAAATTTGATCAAATAACTGAAGAAACAGCAAACAAAATGAAACCATTGATCTTGTTCATTACTTTTATCAAAGTGACTAGTGCACACGAATGATGTATGGAAAAAAAGATTTTGTCAAGATAGGGTACAAGCAACACATGCAAAAAAGACTAATTTAAAAGAACTTTATGTAGCATTTAAATCCGAACATTCTAATTTAATCGTTGGATTTTCTTAGTTTTGCTACCTTCGTCCAAGATGGTGTATAACAACAAACTTGTCTGGCACCCACATTGTTTGTGTCTGTAAATATCATCAGAATGTTAAGTTGTTAACTGATGCTCTTAAAATTGACAAAGAGTATAGAGATTTGATGGAAATAATTGTTTGCAATAGAGACAATGTAAAGTGTGTGTTACATCGATGTCCGTTATGTCCTGGTATTACTGCTTTAAAAGAATTCTTAACAGAAAAGTTTGACAACACCGATAAAGAAATAACAGTTAAACAATGGCAACATACAGATAGGACTACGCTGATCAATCAAAAAATCAATATTGAAGATGTAATTGACCTTATATGCAATAAAATAGATAAATTAATATCTCATTCACTTATAGCTAAAAGTCAAGCCAACTACCTTATAGATTGTAAAGAGTTATTAAGTCAAAATGAGTGTATAGTATTGGGTGACTTTGCAGAGAACTTCCAATTTATTGCTCAGGATGAGGTGCAAATTTACCTCTGGAATAAACCAAAATTTACACTTCACTCTATTATTATATACTATAAATCAAATGATAAACTGATATTTAAGTCAATTTGCTTCCTTTCTGATGACATTAGGCATGATGTATACTTTGTATATAAAATACAACAGCTCACTACCAATTACATTAAGGCAAACATTCTACAAATTAGTAATATTAGTTACTTCACTGATGGATGTGCAGCACAATATAAAAACTTTAAGAACTTTATTAATCTTTGCCATTTCAAAGAAGACTTAGTGATGCTGAATGAAACTTTTTTGCTACAAGCCATGGTAAGTCTGCTTGTGATTTTAGATGCAGATAAGATGTTTGAATTTTGTGTAACCAATATAAAAAATATTCAATTCATTTTAGTTTATAAATCAGAAATAAAAGAAGTACGATCATAAACAAAAAAGATGAAGGAGAAGGAGATTATAAAAATCAATTTATGCATCCACATGGTCCCAGTTTTTCTTGGCCTGCACGAAAAGATATGTGTTGGGTCCCATCAAATCATATTTTATGTATCACTGATACGCCATCTACAACAAATGGTCGTGTATATAAAATTTCAGAAATTGAGTTGGCAAAAATTATTTAACAAAATAACCAAGATTTTTAGAAAAAATTTATATTGCGTCATTATTTTTATACTTGTATGTTATTTTTTTAAATATAGTTAAAATATAAATGTATGTGTAATTAGCACAATTTGGCCACACAAATAAAATTCTCCTGGTAACTTGTCTTTATATATTTTAAGAAAAAAAAAAAGTGGGGGGATTTGGTAATATGCCTAATTGCGACCTTTCCCCCAACCCAACCAAGCTGGCCTCCAAAAGTTTGATGGAAAAATTTTATCAAAACAATCTTAATTTTATTGGCATAACGAAATTAGAAAAATATTAATTTTTTTTTTACTGGGAGGGCAGGAGGGTGGGGTGAAGCCTACCCCAGGAACCAAAAATTTAGAAATAAAGTATACATTTATCATTGCCCTCGAAATGACGTTAAAAATAACTTTTTACAAAATTAGGAAAATATTACTTTTTTGTGTGTGAAGGGCGTGGGGGGGGGGGGGAGCCTATCCCAGGTACCAAAAATTTAGAAATAAAGTATACATTTGTCATTGCCCTCAAAATGACTTTATAAATAACTTTTTACAAAATTAGGAAAATATTACTTTTTTTTTGTGAAGGCAGGGGGGTTGGGGAGCCTACCCCAGGTACCAAAAATTTAGAATTAAAGAACACATTTATTATTGCCATCAAAATGACTTTAAAAATAACTTTTTACAACATGATATTAAGATATATCTTATATCATGTTGAGCCTTTTAAGTAAAGCTTAGATATATCTAAGCTTTACTTAAAAAAGTCAAAAAATGCAATAATATGTTTTTAATTAATAGTGATGTTTAATAACTTTATTGTATGTTTTAGTAATGGCTGAAAAAAAATTACCAAGGTGACATCACCATTTTGACTGTCAAAATACCCTAAAATAAATGCCATTATTCTTTAATTTACATGTACTTAAGGAGGTCTAAAAAAATTTTTAATTTGATATTTGTATCTGCCATCTGGAAGATTGTCTATGTAGCAAATTTCAGAATGATACCTCATTTCATCCATAAAATATTGCTATTTAATGATAAAAATGCATTTTGCAAAAAATGCTGAGTCAGCATAAATATGAAAATTGAAACCTGAATATCTCAAGAACCGTAAGGAGTTGGAGGTTCCAAATTTTAGATTTTTTTAAATTTCATAAACCCTATAGCATATAAAAAAATTAGCGAAATCCCAAACATGGGGTGACATTATTTGATATTTTTGGATGATATGACATGGATTAACCCTAAAAAAAAAAAAATCTTAAAAAAAAATGTTTGACTTTTATTTTTTAAACCTTCAAAAATAATAACATTATTTTTTAATAAGTTAATATATATATATATATATATATATATATATATATATATATATATATATATATATATATATATATCAGCAAAACTTTAAAATTCTAAAAAAAAAATTAAAAAAAAAAACCAGGCATGCAAAATTTTGTTTAAAATACATTTGCATCAAACTTTTAATGTAATTGCTAGTTACTTAGAGAAACAATGGTTAATCATTGCTTTTTTCAATAGAAGAAAGCAATCATAATGTTTAATCATGTTTAAGCATTTAAGTTTCTTTTGAAGTAACTGCAAAAGCATTCATTTTAAATAAAATTTTGCATCCTTTTGTAAATGCATGCAAAAACCATGCTGAAATATGATTACTTTTTTAGTTATTTTACTTAAAAGTAATGCTATTGAAGAAAGTATTCAAGTTTTGGCATGGTTTTTTTTTTAAAGTTTATGAAGTTTTTGATTTTAATAATAAATAAAAAACTATCCGTCACAAAATTATTTAGAAAAAAAATTACTGAAGTAATTTTTTTTCTAAATAATAAAATAAGGGTTTATTTTAAAAAATCTTAATTAAACGCCAATGTTTGCATAAGCAAAGGTGAAGAAATGTGACATTTGTTTTTCTGTCTTTATTTTAACAAACGTGCCCAGGTTTGTCAATTTGTCACACCCTGTATAAAACAGCCTAGTTTACTTTAGTGTTGCGAAGGTAAAATTTACCGGAAAATTTACTGGAAAATTTTCCGGTAAATTTTACCGGAAAATTTGTGACTTTGACAGAGAATGGCTGTCAAGGTAAATTTTGGTTTACTATAATTTTTTTTTTATTAATTATTATTATTATTGGGTTTGGTAAAGAGTGTTAGAATAATTTTAAAAACTTTTGAATTTTTTTTATAAAAACAGTTATAACCAACAATATGACATATGGGAAGGGTCATGGTAGGTATCAGAATATTTCCTCCAGACCAAAGTTTTATTGTCAAAATATCTTCTTTTTTTTTTTGAAATAAAGTTCTAAAATATAATAATTTATGTCATAAAAAACGTTTTATAAAAAAATTGAAAGGGTATTAGAATTTTAAAACTTCTTTATAAATCTATAATTCTCCACATGAAAAAAAACTTATGACAAATTTCATAAATTAAAATTAACAAAGTTTACTATACAACATTAATGCAATAAATACAACAAAAAGTTTTGAACAATTTAAATGAAAATTTTTATTCCTGACAGGGCTCAATTTAATTTTTTATAAAGTCTCGGACAAAATGTCCGATCAAAACTTGTTTTGGTTGGACAGTATCCGATCAAATTTTTAAAATATAATTTTTATGGTTTTATGGAACGGAGTAAAGCAATCAAAATCTTTGTCTTGTTATTCAGATTATTTACTTTTAGTCTAGTGAAGCTGTAGTTGCTTTCTTTGCTATGTAGAATAACTCACCGTAGATTTTTGTTTTTTAATAAAATATTTTCAATTTAATATTGTTCGTGTTTTTAGGTAGACTTAAAATTTCACGCTGTAACTGACAACACTTATTACTTTTCTTTGCAATTTGACAACGTTTATTTTGATGTTTTAACAATTTAAATACAATTAAAAAAATCGTTATGTTACGAATAACTTTTAATCATTGATTTTTTTTAAAGTTTTTATTTTACGCGAAGGCTTTAAATAAAATCAAAAATTTGATATAATGATCGTTTAAAAATAAATGCATTGTGTGTAATTAAACATTTTAAAAGATCAGTTTTAAAGTAATTTTTTTCAAGTGCAACATAAAAAAAAGTAATTTCTATTTCGAGTTTTTTTAGTTTTATTTTAAAGCTATTTTATTTTATTTTTCGTAAGGAATTGTTTTGCTTATTCTTTATTTTTTTTTTTCTTAATTTTTTTTTTCTTAATTTTTTTTCTTGTTTAAGTTAAGGTTAGCAGCGCATTTTTCTTTTTCAGCGCATTTCTAAAACGTTTAAATCATTAAAACATCTAAACAGTCATGTAGTTAAACAAAAAAATTATTTGCGTGTTTAGCAAAAGCGTTCAAAAGCCATTTCTGTCCAAACAAGAAAGACGTTCGTGCTCAGTTTACGAAGTAATTGGCAATTATTTGATTCTTATTGAAAATTTAACAATAATAGCAACATTTACATTAAAAAAAAAAAAAATTATAAGAAAATAACTACTATAGATTGTTTATATCAAACTCAATTACTCTTTTCTTAAGCTATTTTGCATAATCATTGTGTTCTAAACGACACTTGTATTGCTTCTATACTTGATAGTGGTAGCATCGAGCAATTTTTCCAGCCTGTTCATCATATACATCAAACCAAAACTGTCTATGATGAAGAAAAGGAATGACACAATAAAATGTGAACTTTAGTTCCACTAAAGTTTTTAAAAGTTCATTGAGGTATACAATTCAAGGAGAAATACAGTTTTTAAATTCTGAAATGATTCAGTTTTTACATCATGAAAATCTGACAAAAGTGTTGTGCAGCTTTTCAATCTGAGTTGATATATAGTGGTTCTAACATTATCTTCCTCAAGATTTTTTTGCATTTTTTGGCAAAAGTAGTTTTATTTTTCTTTTACTCAGGTTTAGAATAATTGAGATATCCATTTTAGCTTCTAAAGGCTTCTGAATTTTTTAAGACATGCTCTGCTTCATTTATTATCACGTGTGCCAACAACAACAAGAAGATTGTTTCCAAAAGTCTTTAAAGAAAACTTGTTTCCAGATTTAATATTGTCTCTCTTTTTTTTTTTTTTAGAGAATCTTAGAAGCAACTTGCTCACTGGATACATTACCTAACAATTTAATACTAAATACTTGATAATATTATAAACAATATATTAATATCAACTATTTAGTATTAATATTGCAATAATATATGCAATAATAGTAATAAAAATATTCACACCGATATATATATATATATATATATATATATATATATATATATATATATATATATATATATATATATATATATATATATATATTTATCTCCATCTATTAGGCTGGCGCAGATGTATTTTTAATGCATTGTTTCCAGTTTAGGATGTTGAACGCTGGATCTTCTTGACTCAATTCATGGGTTTTGCTTTTGTCTCTGTTTTTATGACTAGGCAACTCATTCTATTATCTCCAAATAAGGGTACAGCTCTAAAACTCAGTTTTATGGTTCTGAGGGCGGCTGGTAGTCAGGTTTCCCAAACTCTGTGGTAGCTCTCAGAGAGGCTGATTCCATCAACAGCTGAAAAATATCAGAGTACTAACAGTGCCATGTTGCGCATGGATAGTGTCCCTGTTTGTACTTTTGGTGTGCATTGCCAAGGCCACATTGGAGCCCTTTGTTACGGCTCAAGGTTTATTAGTGGAAATGAGGCAATTGCTTGGGCTATAAAACAGTATACTGAGTACTATCTATGTTTCGAGTCAAGTTCTTTAACAAATTTAAAAATGAATAAAGTAACAAAAACTATAAAACACAAAAAACCACAGTCATCACCAAGTTCGCTAAACCTATCATTCACCAATATTCGTGGTCTTCAAAGTAACTTTTCTTCTGTTGAGTCTTATCTCTTACAAAGTTCACCAGACCTACTTGCTCTTTATTTGAGTTCAGCTGTCTCATCTTGTGATCTTAGTGTTGATGGTTATCTTCCTTTAATTCGTAAAGACTCCAATATTCACATGCTTGGCCTGGGCATTTACATTCGTTAGAATTCACCCATTTGTTGGGAAACTAGGTTTGAATCCTCAGACTACTCTTTTATGTGCTTTCGTTTAGCACCACTTCATTCTATCACCTTTCTCTTTGTTCTATATCGCTCTCCTTCATCTCAAGACTGCACTCTTCTTGATGTTATTTCTGATTATATTGACCAAGCCCTCATTCTCTATCCATCAGCCAATATTGTTGTTGTCGGTGACTTTTATGTTCATCACACTGAATGGCTTGGCTCTAGTTTCAGTTAATCTGCAGGCATTAAGGCCCACAACTTTTGTCTTTCTCAATCCCTATCTCAAATAGTCAACTTTCCAACTCGCTTTTCAGACAATCCGAATCATTTACCTTCTCTACTCGACTTATGTCTTGTTTCTAATCCTAGTCAGTGCTCAGTTTCTCCACACTTACCCTTAAATGCTTCTGATCATGGTTTGATCTCTCTAAAACTATTATCTCATTCTTCTTTACCATGAGAATCCCACTATCATCGTACATCTTACAACTACTTTAAAGCTGACTGGGACTCTTTCCGTGATTTTCTTAGTGATGGACCCTAGCTAGAAATCTTTTGTCTTCCTGTTGACAAATGTGCTTCTTACATAACTTTGTGGATTCAGGCTGGCATGGAATCCTTTATTCCCTCTCGACGATTCCAGGTCAAGCCTCACTCTTCTCCATGGTTTTCCTCACATTGTGCTGCTGCAATTGCTAATCGAAACCATTAGTTCCATATCTATCAGCAAAACAGTTCTTCAGAAAACAGATGTCTGCTTATTACTGCTAGGAACCATTGTAAAAAGTCTAACGCCAAAGCCTGCTATTCTCAAATCATGAAATCTCGTATTTCATCACAAAAATTAGGCTCTCGTGGCTT